TTTATTTATTTATTTATTTATTTATTTATTTATTTATTTATTTATTTGAGAAAGAGAGAACATTGAGCAGGAGGGGCAGGGAGAGGGAGAGAGAATCCCAAGTAGACTCCATGCAGAGTGCAGAGCCCGATACAGGGCTGGCTCCCATGACCCACAAGATCATGACCTGAGCTAAAACCAAGAGTCGGATGCTCAACCTCCTGAGCCACCCAGGTGCCCCTGGATTCACCTATTAATACTTCATTTTTGGTTGAGTATTTGTTTTGCTCTGCTGAGATTCTAATGATCACGGTTGGTAAGCTGGCATACTTCCTTACAACAAAGGGGTCTGTAAATCGGCTTGCAGACCAAATCCGGCCTGCTGGATTTATGTTTTCATAAACAGGCCATACATGATTTACGTTTGTCTGTAGCTGCCTTCTCACTACAGTGTCCCAAGCTGAGTAGCTGTGACAGAGATGGTGTGGCTCACAAAGGCTGAAATATATACAGTCTAGTTCTTTTCAGAAAGGCTTGGCAATCCCTGTTTTAGAAGAAGAGTCAGTAGGTACCAGAAGACGTATGTTTAATACTTACATATGAGTGGCCTTGAGAATTAAGAAAAATGCTAAAGAAAAGAGTAAGTAAATGATGTCACGGAGATTCAAAGCTCACATAGTTTCCACACTGCACTGCCTCTTTTTTCTCTGACACGTGCTCTGGTCTCAACCCTAAATGTACTGTTTGTAGAATCCTCTATGGGTAGCCCGCTGGTGTAGGCAGGTTGTTTTGAGAACATTAAAGAGTTGTCTTTGGACCATTACTCAGAATGGACCCTGCTCTTTGTGCGACTGTGCCATTTGGTTGAAAATAACATGTTTAGAGGAAATCAAGTCATTTTTAATCATGGTGCCTTCCATGTCCAACAGTCTTCACATCTAAGCATCATCTCAAAATGGAAATTAGGGAACTGAAATCATAGAAAGTTTTAGACTTTGAGGACATGAATTCCAAACAGTGGAAACACTAGGACTACGCTGTTGGCAAAAGCCACCTTGATGATGGAGCTGATATGCTACTCGGCCTCCACATAGTTCAAAGCTTGTCACAATCCAGGTCACGTACGTGAGTTTGGCTCCTGATGGCCTGTCTGATTTGGGCCATATGATTAAATAGATACAGACATAATCCCAATAGAGGTAGCATTTCAGCATTTTTTGAGTGTTTGCTATGTAGCAGGACCAGTACTAAGTGCTCTCCCTGTATTATTTTCATTAAAATAGAAAATCTATGAGGGAGGTATTTTCACTGTTTTGTGGATGTGAGAATTGAGTCATATAGAGTTAACTTACCTAGAGCCATGTAGTAAAGTAAGTATTAAGCAATATTTAAACCTAAATCAGTTTTATTCTCCATGCTGAGCTCTTAAGCCTATAGTATTCCATGAACTTGTTTTCAAATATGTAGAAAGCACTGAAGAAATATTTGAAGACTTTTTAAATGTTAATTTGTTTGGTAAAGCTATGGTTTTTCTTTATCCTAACAGTAAAGAAACTCAGCGTTAATTAACTTCCAACTTTTGTGTCGAGCTGTATGTAAGATTTAAATTATTTTAAAAACAAGTTCTTAGATCTGGAACGTTAACAATGGCAGTGATTAGTTAACAACGGCAGTGATTATTGTATTGCTTAGTCTGTGAATTTTTTAATAAAATGACATAATTGTATACTTTGCTTTCTAGTAAGTGATGGAAATATTTTTAGGTAATTTATCTCTTTAAAATTTTAAAATTTTTATTTATTTGAGAGAGAGTGAGCATGTGAGAGAGAGCACAAGAGAGAGCATGAGCAGGGGGAGAAGGGTCAGAGGAAGAGCCCTGATGCTGGGCTTGATCCCAGGATCCTGGGATCATGACCCGAGCCCAAGACAGATGCTTCACTGACTGGGTCACCCAGGCGCTCTGATAATTCATCTCTTTTTGTTGCTTTGTATGTTCTAAATAGTTGTTGATTGTGTGTATGAGAGCTTTCTATATAATTCTCTCCAATTATAGATTACTGTAGTTTTTCAGTTGACTTTGTGGTATTTTATACAAATGCTTTCAAATGTGTAAAGAGCAATATTTCTTTCTAATTTCCAACATTTGGATCTTTAGTGTGTTCATTTTTCATTTTTTATCTAATTGCATTATATAGACCAAGGAAGGCATTTTATGTCGAGTAAAAATATATATATATATATATATTTTTTTTTTTTTTTTTTGATATCTTGGACTGAGAGCCAAAAGGATTTATTCTAGCCTTTCCCTTGCCACAGATGGCTGCACAATTTGGGGACATGTTTCATTTCTTGGACTATCCTTGTGGTAATCTTACAATACGTTGTGCTCTTGCACAAATCCCTTGGTCTTGCTGGTTGCAAATTCTTTGAAAGGCACTGTCTAATTAATCTTTCTGATTAGCACTTGCAATAGTGCTTAGTATATAGTAAATATTTTAAAATATGTAATTTATTAATCAGTTATTGATTCTACATATAATAAGTACTTATTTGGTGCCTCATATTAAACCAGAAACCATAGAAGACACAAATTACTGTCCAAATTATTACACTAAAAGATTAAAAGTGCTTAAGTGGAGACAATGAAAATATAATATGGGGTAAAGTCCATCATTTTTAGTCGGTATGATGAAGGTGGTGCTCCAGTATGGCATAGTGATAAAGAACATGGGCTCTGGAGTGGAAAAACTGGTTTGGATTCACATTTTGGTTGGCCATTTACTGGCTCTAAAACTAGGCAAAGTTTTGTTTATTCTTGCTAGACCTCAATTTTCCCATGTATGATATTGTAATAAAATGATGTCTACATCATAGAATTAAGTTGATGGCTGCAAATAATTAAGATAGTGCCTTGCATACCACAAGCACACACAGAATCAAAAATAAGGGACAACATAACGTGAATTGTTAAGGCTGTGAAATCTGAGGCACTGTTGTTCATGTTTATTTCTTTAGTAAATGACACCTATGAACTTGGAGAACTGAATTATATCAACATTACGACTCCATTGAAGCCCATCTGGCGTCTCTCAAACCTCAATGCAACTACCAAGTACAAATTCTACTTGAGGGCTTGTACTTCAAAGGGTTGCGGAAAACCAATTACAGAGGAAAGCTCCACGTTAGGAGAAGGGGGTAAGTGCAGGAGACTTCTGCATGCTGTTTTTTAAACTGCTCTGAAGGGACTGTACCAAGCTAGTCATTGTAAATTAGAAATGATTGTGATCTCAATCTGTGTGACCTTTTGTTTTTCACTGATATAGATACAGAATTTATTTCTCTTGTTTGTAAAGTTCACATTGACTCAATTTATGGATTTCTACACAACAGCAGTGAAACTATAGCCTCAGTGTATGTAAGATCAGGAACTATAATTTTACTTAATTAAAATAGGAGTACGTAAGGTCATAAAGTTATTCATAAGGTTACTAGAGGGATATTTTTCTTTTGGAAGTGTTTTCATACAGAAAAATATTTGCCTCTTGCCCTGGTGGATGTTTTGTAACAATTATCTAATACATTTCTCTTCCATGTCTTAGCTCATATATATGTATATATATATATATATATATATATATATATATATATAATTAATGTAGCAGTTTTATTTTACTGTCTACCGGTTGATGCCAAATACTGGCTTGGAAATGGCCCATCAACCTCTGATTTAATTTGTATAATTCTCCAAATTCAATTGCACTTTTCGGTTTTGTTTTGTTTGTTTCCAACCCAGACCTGTTTCCCTTCCCAAATTATTTCGACAGTTATGATTTTAACAATGTTCTTGCTAAACTTAAAAGGAGAAAAATTAAGAAGGCAGAGCATAAAAAGGAAATGAATCAGAGGAACTGCTGCACACACTAATAAGTTAAAAAAGAGGGCTTTGTGCTGGATTCAAGTCGATCAGACCTGGAAGGGTATTTGTTGGGGGGAGCAAGGAGAAGGAGATGGCAGGAAGGCAGACAGAATCATTTGCTTATCATGTACTATGTGTCAGACACTGCCCTGAATGCATTTCCAAATTTTAGATTAGAAAAAAAAAGATTGGGCGCCTGGGTGGCTCAGTTGGTTAAGCGACTGCCTTCGGCTCAGGTCATGATCCTGGAGTTCCGGGATCGAGTCCCACATCGGGCTCCCTGCTCAGCGGGGAGTCTGCTTCTCCCTCTGATCCTCCCTCCTCTCATGCGCTCTCTCTCTCTCATTCTCTCTCTCAAATAAATAAATAAAATCTTTAAAAGATAAAAAGAAAAAGAAAGGTTGAGTCAGTCAATGAAAAAAGAAAATAGTAATGAAAAAAACTAAGTTGTCACTTATAAAATATGTATATTATTATAAAATATATTTAAGTGTATGTGAATCACTGTCAAAGCGGGGGTTTGTGTGTGTGAATGGTTACGCTCTGACCTTTACTGTCTGTTTCTCCTTCTTATCGTCCCTACTGTGTCTACCTAATGAAGGATTTACATTCTCCTCAGATACCCGAAGTACTCAAAACTCCCCTTTATGCGAAAAGTATGTATACTCAAAGAGTTTCTTCCAAGAAACCCACACATTGTTCCCAAGGACAAATGAGACACCAAGTGAAATGAAGAACTCATTTACCTACTCAAAAGAGAGATTTAAAGATGATGATTGAAAACTTTAGTAACTAAAAGGATCTTATTTCTCAAGAGGTCAAAGTGGCATCGAGTGTTCAATACAGAGAAAAGAAGTCAGAAGAGTAGTGATCTAAATATGCAAATTCCGTATTTTTCAAAACAGGGTTTAAGGAATGGAGAGAGTTGCTATTTTGTTAGAACCAAAACCATAATATGCATGAGATATGCTAATCCCATTATTGCTAACTTGCAGCAGGTAAGAAAAAAAATTCATAAAATTCTCTTACAATAGTTACAGTTACCATATGCATATATGGAAGTATTTAGAAAATCTCAGTTTGGTCGCCTTCATGTTGGAAAAACTGTTTTTAGCAGATGGAAAATGGTGTTTGTGTTGTTTTATAAATGATGCTGCATCTTCATTGCAAATGAAAGATGCAGCTACTGTGCTTGAGTGTCCTACGGCCTAGTTCTTCCCTGCCCTATGTCTCAGGAATTTGAAAATGTTCCTTACTAGTATGTTTGTGCTCTTTTTCAGGATTCTGCACTTTCAGCTACTGCCCCTTTGCCCATTGACAGTGCTTTCTCTTCTGTAGGCATGTCTTGCCATATTTGCAGGAAAGAAACTATAATAATCCCTTTTTGCCACTGGATTTCAGCATGATCTTTGGAAAAGGAAAAATACATATATATTTTCACGGAGGAGATAAATCTTGATATCACTAAACACTCCAAAAATAACTTTTGCACAAATTGGAATCTATTTCTGCGTATCTTTCTTCTCCTTGCTCTGCCTAGATAGCACATTTTAAGGTCATGTGACATTTATTCAGAAAATAGGATTTGATACACAAGCTTTTTTTTTTTCCTGATTGTCACTCTGATTTTGAGGTGGCTCACATTCCATAGTCTAAGAGGGGGAAGATGGTGGAGCTAATCAGAAATATTTGTGTCATTGCTGGTTTGAAAAAAACACTTGCTTTGCACTATTTTTCAAAAGCTTGCACTATTTAATGTTATACTAATATTTCTGTTTTCCAAAGTCAAAATTAATTGTGTTCTATTGCAGTGGTGCTCGATCTTAAAGGCTTTGCTCAGCTAATATAATTGGCCTTATTTCTCTCATGATGACATTTTTTAATGAAGCCCTTTTGTTATCAGTAACTATATCATCAATTTCTATTCTATGGTTAAAAGTTATAACCAGATTTTAATGTGTGGTATATACCCATTTGAAACAGGGTTTCATAACTTTTAATATTCTCAACATGGTATATATTATTTTATTCTCAGTGTAAATTATTTACATTTATTATGTTGAGCTGATTCTCAGCAAAACTATGGATCAAATACAAAAATATTTTACATGTTTTATTGCAACATCAGAAGTTAAATGTATATTTAATCACACTCAACTCATTTTTATCTGCTACTATGAGATTCTACAGTTAATATATTGATATAGTCATCTTTCTTTTTTAAAAGTATTAATGTCTCATAATATTTTAAAAATCTCATTTTTAAATGAGATTTGCATTTCATATTTCAAATGAAATATGCATTTCATTTAAAGGTACTTATAAACCTGTACTTTATGTACCTATAAACCTGCTTATGTTTCTACAAATTTCAAGTATTTAATATATGACCATGTTATGATACTATTCCATCAATATTTATAGAGAAGACCAAGACAAAAAAAGTAATATATATTTAAAATTATAATGTCATTTGCTTTAAAAATAAACCAAAATGGCCATGGTCAGTTTCCTGCTAGATCTGTGAAAGTTCAAATTGCACAGAATGACACTGTATAATTTTTTGAGGTCTGTGTTTGGTTTTGAACCATTCATGTAACCGGGCAGATTTTTAATACCATTTCATCAACAAGTACGTCATCTTTAAAGGACATGAATTAAATTCATTTCATTTCCTCCATTTCAGTATATTACGAAAGGAAATCTTGAAATGTTGATTTTCTTGATCTCCACGGTAATTCAAAAACTATCTGAGAAAAAAAATGCTGCAAATGGTTCTCTTCTCAAATAACACTGTTTTTGTTTGTTTGTTTTTTGTTTTTACTTTTCATGTCCTGCTTTTCAATGATTACAATTTATATGATTTAACTGTGTACATTTCTTAGGTAAGAGTATCGGGAAGATACCAGAAGGAGTGAATCTTACTCAAAAGACTCACCCCATAGAGGTATTTGAGCCGGGAGCTGAACATAGAGTTCGCCTATTGACTAAGAATTGGGTTGATAACAATAGCATTTTTGAAGATGTAATTGAGACAAGAGGGAGAGGTGAGACATGAGATTGTATTTGGGGCATTCTTAGACAATAAATATATTTTGTAGATTATTTAATTTTACATACTTCCTGTATTAAAGATAAAAATATGGAGTACATTAGTTACAGAGATAACAGTTTCAGTTTGTTTTGGCAGAGCATTTTTTTATTATTATTATGTTCAGTTAGCCAGCGTATAGTACATCATTAGTTTTTGATGTAGCGTTCAACGATTCATGAGTTGCGTATAACACCCAGTGCTCATCATAGCATTTATAAAATTATCGAAATGAAAAATGTTCCACAAAGATCCAACATATTCCTTATTGTTTTTGCCAGAGTAGTTGACTAAAAAAAATACCTCCTGCCAATTAACACATGTTAATAACAAAACTAAACATAGAAAACCAAAACAGAATAAAACCCGCAGAAACCCCACGGCGATCTGCATATAACCAAGGCAGCTTATGCTTTTGCTTGCTTGCGCTGCTTCTGTGTTTCACTCAGTCTGCCTCCACTATCCCTTTTTGGTTTTCATCCTCAGAGTCAAATGCAACTTGAGAGGGCCCTTTCTAAGTACAGAATGAACGATTCATTAGTATTCTTCCAATGAAATGTCCTTTCAATCACATTCCCTCTAGGGTCACTGAAAGGCAAAATAAAACGGATGCTATTTTGTATGTTTAAAAATGATGCTTCACTTTCCCAAAGGGGCCGTAATCCCAAAGATGGTCTCTAGCATTCAACGTGTGACTTCTCTTTGTACAACAGAGTACGCTGGTTTATACGATGACATCTCCACTCAAGGCTGGTTTATTGGACTGATGTGTGCAATTGCTCTTCTGACACTAATACTGTTAACTGTTTGCTTTGTGAAGAGGAACAGAGGTGGAAAGTACTCAGGTAAAGCTGTTGCTTAATATAGTAATATACTTTCAGTTTATTAAATAGTATTTTCTAGGAGGCATTCTTCAGAGACATCTTTTATTTTTTAAATTACACATTTAAGTCAGATTTATGGTAGCACAATAGATATGCAATGTACTGAGAGGAAAAAAAATCCTATATTAACTAACCAAAGGATGTAAGGTCTAGAGTATTATTTTCTGGTGGTTACTAGTCTCTAACGAGGCACATAATACTTCCAGCCTTCTATTTTCTGCCTGTAAAATATCAGAGATGTTCAGAACACTAATCGCTAAACCACACACACATATTTAAGAGGAAGGACCTATTTATAGCATGCCTTGTCATGTGTTTGTGACCCAGAGAATGTTTGCACTGGTACCTTCTAATAGTACTGTCTCCACTAGTCAGCTTTACTAGAGTTAACCATTGCTGGGAATGCATTTTTTATTACCATGACATATATTAGATACACTGCCTCCTGAATTAATGTACATAAAATGTAAATAAAAACCATCAAAGTTAATGTAACAGTTGGCTTTAATTTAATTCAACTTCCAAATTTATCTTTTAGATGTACATATTATGTTGTTGCTATTATTATTATTGTTATTGTTATTGCTTAGTGTTCAAGATGCTTTTATATAAGGGGAAAGATTTAGATCCCACTGCTATCAGTTTGATGATGTTCAGATTAGTGAGAAGTTCTTTTATTGGCTTATTACTCATTTAACAAATATTTATTGGGAATCTATACGTATATTGAACAATCAAAGACGAGCATAATTTTTAAATTTTTGTAACATCTAATGCAAATTATGCATGGAAATTTATGCAGTCATAGATCTCTTTTTTTTTCCTATGAGGACTGAATTATTACGAATTAGATTTTCAATGATTAATAGATGTCCTAGTTAATTGGAAAATTTAAAGACATATAGCATTCTGCTTTGAGGATCCCCAACAAATAGACTTGTGAAATGTGACCCTCTCCAAATTCTAATGACGGTGACTAACATAACATAACAAAAAAAGAAAAAGAATAGAAAAGAAAAAAAAAGTCAGCATTTCACATTATAGGACAACTAAAAGAATCCCTTAGGTCTCTGCAAGTAGTAGTAAAAGATGCCATGAAGAAGAATCGTTACAGGGTTGCTGGGTTTGTCTCACAGAATCAAAGAATGAATCTTGCAGACACACATGGGTGAAGTGAAGTGAAAGTTTACTAAGTGAAGGTGAGAGCAGAAAGGAAAGAAAAAAGCTCTCCGAGTGAGAGGGGTCCCGACAGGGTTGCCACTGAGGACTTTTAAGGGCAGGCTTTTATTGAGAACGGACTGGGAAGCTCGAGGCCTTGAGAGTCTTCTGCCATCTTGGTTTGTTCCCTTATCTCTTGTTCCTCTCTGTCTCAGCATCTCCACCTGCCAGGAATAGTGTCCAAGCCTGGCCAGGGGAGTCAGGGGCCTCCTATCTCTCCTGCCTAGACCTTAACCCTTTCCCTACTCACGGGACAGGACCTGTGGGCAGAAATTGCTATACTGGGATTGTGAGCAGTGACTGATTGTATACTTTTTAATGTGTGGGGGTGAGGGATCGGGCAAGTCTCTAAGGAATCTGGAAACAAGGCTTTCAGGACCTCGAGGGGCCAGCTGCTGCCAAGATAAGGTTCCTTTTAAATGTTAAAGCGCTAAAGCAGCCATGAGTTCCTTGAGGAAGGTCATGTTCTCCATGTTTCAGGTATCTATCAGTGGGCTGTAAGCTCTAAGGAGATTTTAATGTAAGCTACATTTCTTTTGTCTTTGTTTCCCACATCAGGATTTTCTTTTTTTTTTTTTTTGAGAGAGAGAGAGCGAGTGAGCGAGAGAGTACAAGCAGGGAGAGGGTCAGAGGGGGAGAGACAGAGAGAGAGAGAGAGAGAGAGTGAGGGAGAAGCAGACTCCCTGTTGAAGCAGGGAGCCCGATGTGGGGCTCCATCCCAGGACCCTGGGATCATGACCTGAGCTGAAGGCAGACACTTAACCAACTGAACCACCCAGGCGCCTCTCACATCAGGATTTTTGTTTGAGTTTTCCTAGTAAAGTTAAACAAAAGCCCCCTTGCCCTATGTCCCACTATTTGGAATAATTCAAATTTAAAATGTCACTATAGACCTGAATATTCTGATTTTTGAGGCAATTATGAGTAAGAGAGAGAGAGAGCAGAACAACCAAACGGTTGACTTTTAATCACTTTAGCTTAGTGACATAGATCTGGTATAAGCCTATGACATCATCAAAAAGTTTTGGATAGTAAAATGTGTATCTAGTAATTTGGTCTCCATTCAGAAACCGTAACTAAGTTTGACTCTTCCAGTAAGACTTGTTGCCCACATAATACTGAATAGCCACATGAAGATCTGCAACATGCTGTAATTCTAATGACAAATCAGGAGAATCCAGGAGATCATTTTCCCTTTTTTTGCATAAACAAGGAGGTAACTAATGGGTTGTAGATACAACCACAAAAAAAAAAACCAAAAAAACCCTTGACTTACTAGTATCAAAAAATTGGAGCAATGTTGTTCTCATTGATTATCCCTCTTTAACAATACTGTTAATATGTCTTCAAAAATTATTTGTGTTACTTTCCCCTATTTGTTTTTTAGTGAAAGAAAAGGAAGATCTGCATCCAGATCCAGAAGTTCAGTCAGTAAAAGATGAAACCTTTGGTGAATACAGGTAAATAATGTTCCATTTTAAAATGTATTAAAATGTGTGCTGATCAGGTTACAAGCTTAAAAATACAAAAATAAACAAGTATTTATTCTTAAAATAAAGGTTACACTACTATATTGTAATGCCTTTTTAAAGAATAGTTTGCAAAAATAGGACCTGCTTAAGAGAGAGCAGCCGACCTCCAGGTGCAGGGGTGTGTGTAACCACACTCTAGGTAGATGTGTGTGCTGGGAGACTTTTCTTAAAGCTCTGTGTGCTATGCAAAAGGACACTATTTCACTTTTTATTTAGAGTGAATATCTATTTGGAGTATTAAAACATCTTGAAGTCTTCAGCATGGCCATTATGGGCCCAGGTTGTATCCAATTTATATCCGTAAACATGTACTCCGTGCACCTACTGTCTAGAGTTACAAAGGTGAACAAGTTACAGATCCTAGTCGGAGGAGGAAAAAAACCTATCTCTGCAAATCACTGTAATTAGGTAGAGAGTAAGAGTGCAAAAAGTGGAGCAGCTCTGTCTGCCTTGAAGGGATGCTGATAATGGATCATCCAAAGAGATAAGATAGGCTGTAAAGAATGAAGTGGATTGTGTTACTGTTAACTACTGGGTGCCACATGACCAAACTCAAGGGGGAGAAGCGTGCCATGCCTGGGAGGAATGGCCTGGTAACTGGAGGAGGGAGGTAGCTCTTGAGGATGCATTCAACTTACCATTCTCCTGTCATTGCTCACCATCTGACCCCTTCCACAACCATCGCTGCTTCTTAGCCCTTCCCATTTGGGATGTTCTTGTTTTCAGTCAGATCCTCTGTATACTGCAGACAAGAGAGCTTGCAATGCCTGGGCTTCTACAGCCTTTAGCACACAGGAGGCCAGGATTCATATCGGAAAAGAGACCTGATTGACTCCAACTGGCCTATCCCTGGATCCATTATTATAATCAATGACATAGAGCATTATGATGAGCTGTTTGGGGTTAACCGATGTACACCTGAGCCTCATTAGAGGCTCTCCTTTGCTCTATACTGATTCTTCTTTTTTCCACTTAACCAAAGCTCTCTTTATATTTTTATATTTCTTGATTAATCACTTTAAGTTCTTTCCAGAATAAGGATCCTTAGAGGGAGAAGAAGGAAGGAAAGAGGGGAGAGAAGGAGGGAGAGAAGGAAAAAGGAAGGGAAGAAGAGAGACTGAAAGAGAGGGAAACTTGGAACTTTACAAATTTACAAATTGTGGCTCAAATTCCATGAGGCAAGAATCATTAAGGGCCTATGGCAACTGTTCAGAATATATTTGAAAGACAAATATTAATAGTTCAATTTTATAGGCAAGAAACCTATGATAATGCCTTGTTCAAAAACTCATTCCCCCACACCCTGCTGCCTCTTGAAAAAAGATACCACCTCACACCGGTCAGAATGGCTACAATTAACAAGTCAGGAAACGACAGATGTTGGCGGGGATGCGGAGAAAGGGGAACCCTCCTACACTGTTGGTGGGAATGCAAGCTGGTGAAACCACTCTGGAAAACAGTATGGAGGTTCCTCAAACAGTTGAAAATAGAGCTACCCTACGACCCAGCAATTGCACTACTGGGTATTTACCCCAAAGATACAAATGTAGGGATCCGAAGGGGTACGTGCACCCCAATGTTTATAGCAGCAATGTCCACAATAGCCAAACTGTGGAAAGAGCCAAGATGTCCATCGACAGATGAACGGATAAAGAAGATGGTGTGTGTGTGTGTGTGTGTAAAATGGAATATTATGCAGCCATCAAAAAACAGAATCTTGACATTTGCAACAATGTGGATGGAACTAGAAGGTATTATGCTAAGCGGAATAAGTCAATCAGAGAAAGACAAGTATCATGTGATCTTACTGATATGAGGAATTTGAGAAACAAGAGAGAGGATCAGAGGGGAAGAGAGGAAAAATGAAACAAGATGAAACCAGAGAGGGAGACAAACCATAAGACTCTTAATCTCGGGAAACACACTGAGGGTTGCTGGAGTGGTGGGGGGTGGGAGGGATGGGGTGGCTGGGTGACGGATATTGGGGAGGTTATGTGCTGTGGTGAGTGCCGTGAATTATGTAAGACTGATGAATCACAGACCTATACCCCTGAAACAAATAATACATTATATTTTGATTAAAAAAACTGGCAATGCACAAAAAAAAAGATAGATAAAATCATCCCCTGCACTATTTCACCTGGCATCCCATTAATATAATTACTTATTAATAATTTAATTAAATCTCTTTAATCCCTTAATGTTCCCATCGTCTTTTCCCAAAACTACGTGTTCATCCAGAAAATGATCTAATCTCCAAGTTATCCCAGGAGACAGTTTTACTGGATGCTGTTCTTGCTCATGACATGAATTGTCATCCTTCCAGCTTCTGGTAATAGTTTCTTCACTACTTGTTGCCTGGTCCCTAAGCTAATGCCATATTTTTGTTTTTGTTTTGTGTTTCGGTAACTGTAAGTATCCCATATCAGGAGCCAATTACTCTAGGAGTCAGGATAGCCTGGGTTATGCTGCTGTCAAAAACAACACCAGAATCTTTTTCTTTCTGAAGTTATGTGTGCAACGCCGATGGCTCCATTCATCTTGATCCCTGAGGAGCGCTAGCTGGGAGATGAGCATCCAGGAGGACCACAGCAGGAGAAATAGAACATAGCAAATTGAGCATGGGCTCCAAAGTGACACATGCCACTTTTGCTCACTTTTCTTGTGCCACAGCAAGTCACATGACAATGTATAACTCGGGAAAGACAGAGAATGCAACTCTGCCCTGTTCCCAGGAAGCTGAGAGATGGATCTATCTGATGAACAACACTGATTACCTAAAATTGCACAGTGCTAATCACATTCTAATTATATATATATATTTTGCCAAATTCATCCTTGTTAAAATTTTATGAAATCATTTAATTTGATGTACACATTTATAGTGTGATAGTAGTTAGAACTTAAAAACAAATCTTGATCCAGAAATTTAGATGACCATATCATTTTATAGACATGTTACTACCTCAAGAGTTATTTTTGTTGAAGAATAAAACCCAAACCATAAATTTAGGATACTTGTAGTATTTAGGTTCTAAAAATGCCAGCCATCTTTAAAAAATTTGAATAAACTTGAGTTTATAAACTATATTAAAGAAAGTTCTTTGGTTACCAGAAACAGAATTTGGCTGATTACCCTAATCAAAAGAGAAATTTGGGGAAGGATTTAGGGGTATGTACAGGATCAAAGGTAAAGACAAAAGATCAGGACTTGATGACTGGGAGTTCCAAAAGTTCATGAACTCAGAGGGAATAACATTATCCTCTATGTATGTCAGCAGACTGAATGTCTGCATATCTCAAACCTCCCAATTTTAAAGGGAAGCAGAAGTATTGTGAATAATAGAAAACAGTTTCTCAATTACTCAGTGTGACGCAAATTGGTTATGACTTTTTAAGCACTCATTTGTGAAGGGGTCATTTAGGGTTTATGTGTCTGCAATGCTAATGTGAATGTCTTGAAAATTTTAAGACCTATTAGCACCACTGCATGAGTCTTGCTTTATGTGAATATCTCAGATTTTGTTGAACGATTCTTTGTTTTGTAGTGACAGTGATGAAAAACCTCTCAAAGGAAGCCTTCGATCCCTTACCAGGGATATGCAGGCCACAGAAAGCGCCGACAGCTTAGTCCAGTATGGAGAAGGCGACCACGGTCTGTTCAGTGAAGATGGATCATTTATCGGTGCTTATGCTGGATCGAAGGAGAAAGGCTCTGTTGAAAGCAATGGAAGTTCTACAGCAACATTTCCACTCCGAGCATAAATGTATCCCATGTAAACATCAGTGGTTCACACCAACCTTCCATATTTATCTGTTCAAGGGAGCAAGAACTTTCACATAGGAATAGAAACATATTGGCAAAAGATTTCATCCAGAATTCGAACATCTTGCAATTATGTTGAGAAAAAATAGCACTGCCTTGAAAAAATAAAATACCAAGCACTATAGGCCTATATTGTTTTGTTTTGTTCTTCAGGTGCTGAAAATTCAGAACACAAAACATATCCTGTATTTAGATTCACCTCAACTGAACCCAAAGTATCGATTCAGTGTACTCCATTTTTGCCTGGTTTTACTGTTCACTGTGTTTGCATAGTTGTTGCTACCTTGTGGGTTTTTCTCTGTGTGCACATTTGTATTCAGTCTCTGAGAACTGTCTTAGTGACTTTACTTCACTACAGGTAAAAAGATGGTAAGCAAACTGGTTATTTAAAATGTAAAGAGGAATATGAATGTCTTATTAAAGCGGTTCATTGAATATATACAGTCTAAATCTATTATTTAAATTGTTAGTAGCAGGAGTCTTAGGTGAACAATCAACTCGTATTTATTGAGCGCCTAACTGTTTGCCCAGAGATGGTCATGTTAAAATAGAATGCTAACTTTTTCAGTTTCAACATGAATTTTTTTTTTATGTCTATCAGTTCTGACATCTAGAACCATCTTTTTTTTTTTTTTTTTTCCTTGGACTAAATTCAGCTGCAAAGGAAGTGGTGGTCAGAAGGTTATCTTATGAAGGAACAGGCCAAGGTATCCATGATGCTAGAGCCTAATAGCTAAACCCATTTAATATCTCCGTTTCTAAATTGACTGCTTTTACCCTTTTTCTATGTTTATATAATGGTATGCTCGCATATATTTCATGAATGCATTGTACATATTATGTTAATATTTACACAATTTAAAATATAGATGTGTTTTATTTTGAAGTGAGAAAAAGAACATTAACAGGCATGTTTGTACAGCTAGAGTATATAGTGAGATAACATGCCACTAGCATGAGGCTCCAAAACTGAAGACTTTGTATAGAGCATTTGGATTTTGTTCTTATATTGCTTTCTGCGACAGTCTCAAAATAAAATATCATATGAATATTGGAAATGTTTTCCTATTTTTCAAAATAAGTTTTTATTGTTGAGTATATTCTTACCCTGGCCCCCAAAAGAAAAAAGAACTGTTTACGGTAGAAATTTCCATACATATGTTTGCCTTTCACATTTTAAACATCTTCAGGGTGGGCTCTCTTTGCTCTTCTGTCAAAGTCAGTACAAATTCAGGGAATTAATTTCCTGGCATGTGGGCTACTAGTCCTTCTAAAATTGTACATGAAAATGGTTTAAAAATATTATGAAGGACTGTGCATGAATGCCAGTAAAATTCAGTGTTCAACTTCTCACTTTATGGAAACATTTGTTAACCCTACCATGAAATTCTTAATTAAGTGAAAGTGACTCACAGATTTTCCTTTATTTTTTGAACTGTAGCTGTGGCCATATATTGTTAAATCCTGACTTTGATTTATGCAGCCCACTGTATTTCTTGTGGACCGAGATTAGGGATGTTTTTATAATGATCAATGCAGTAATCCACATGGAGTATCTAATTGTCATTTTAAACCTTGTGTGTCCTCCAAAATATATAGGCAGCAAAAGAATGTCTGATTTAAAACAATGTGTCATGGGCTCAGGATTTGACCAAACTCCCAGAAGAAAGAGTTTCCAAAGGGGAAGGTATCTTGGTCCTCACCCTATGTATGAGGATCCACACATCCAGCAGTGCACCTTGAGCTTCATCCCCATCTGATTTCTAAAGCACTTTTCTGGAGGAAGAATCATCATGTTTTGACTTATCTGGGAGGAATTCCTGGTACTCAGCTACTGATGAGGCCAAGGTTAGGACTTCTGACTGTAGTTCTGTTGTTTTTCTAGTTCCTCTTCTTTGTCATCAGCCAAAAAAGGTTTTAAGAAAATCATGCAGGTTGGAAATAATCTCCAAAAAGCATTAGGGTATAGATTTATTATAAATTTGATAATCTTTAAGATAGAAGTTAATGCAAGTACTGAAGTGTTTCATTTTCCTAGACTTCTGTGTTTCCCTTTAGCAGTCTAATAGGAATGTTCCTGCTCATATTTTCTCAATGACCAAAATTTACAGCTAGGATAAATGACATTGCATTATCACTGCCTTTTGCTATTATTTTTCGTACCTTTTCTTAATATCATTTGGCTTCTACTGGGAATCTTCAGTGCAGAAGGAATTGGTTTGTAACTAACTTTCTCTGTTAACTGTCAATATTAATTTAATGTAATAGATTGTATATAATCTCAAGGATTGTTGGTGGGAATGTGTTCCTAGAAAATTGTCCAAGGGTTGGGAAAATCCAAGTTCTCTTCCTGGTTCCAGCACTGATTTTGTACATAAACCTTAGGCACGTTGCTTGACCCCTTTTGCTTCATACTGTCTCAACTATAAAGTGCTAATGATTATCTCAGTTACCTTATCTTTGTCACAGGGTGTTCTTTTTTATGAAGAAAAATTTGAAAACGATAAAAGCTAAGATGCCTTTTAACTTCGTAAACAAACCTTTAATCTAACAATGTATCAAAAGCCACCCCACACATACCAACTCAACTTTTATCCTGTGAGCACATAAATATATTTTTATAGAAAAACAAATCTACAGGAAATAAAATCTACTGTTCAGTGAGCAGTATGATTTGCACATGCCATCAAAATTATTAATCAGAAAACAATTAAGCAGGGTCTTTGCTATACAAAAGTGTTTTTCATGGATTTTGCATGTGTATTTGTAGAAAATGTGAATTTGGTGGATTATTCTATTAGTATAAAGGCATCTGATATTTTAGATGTACCCATGTTTATAAAAGTGTAAAGCACAAGGAAATTATGCTGGAAGTCTCAAATAATATTTTTTTCCTATTTTGTATTCGTGGAAGAGATGAGATAAAGAGAGAACAATAATGAGAAATGTTGGTGTGTTTTTCTAAGCATTTAAAACATAATTGCCAATTGAAGCCCTAAATATGTTTACATGCCATTAAGATATGATTCTTGTAACAATTTTAAACTGATTATAAAGGGATTGGGTTTGTAATCTGTGGTAGTATATATAACCTAGTGTTCCCATAGTGAATAAGTAGGGTTGAGCCAAAGCTTACTTTGTTTTGTGTCTTAAATTGTTTGATTACATCATCAAAAGAGATAAAAGGTGTGTAGAACTGGTTTACCTGATTACTTTTCTTTTTTTTTGGCTTAGATTAATACAATAGAACTTTATTAAAATGTGTTTGTATTGTAGGTGGTGTTTGTATTATGCTTATGAATATGTATGGTTTAAAAATATTTTCATTATACAAGAAATTCAGCTTTCCAAATAAAAGTTCAACTTCGTGTACTCTAAAAATGTTTGTATTCTTTTCTCTCCAGACAAGAAGAATCAGAATTTATAAATCAGCCTTACCTCCAGTTGCCTCTGATCCTGGAATATCTATAAATTAAGCATAAATTAATAAAGTGTAAATGACACATAAGTAAAGTATTTTTATTTGAATGACTATACTTACAAATAGACCATTTAATAGCAACATCTACAAAATGTAATTTGCCAATAAATTCAGTGCTTAATGATAAATGTAAAATTAGGATGAATGTGTATTCATTTGATTGTTTTTAGAAAAAATGTAGAAATGTCAATTTTCAAGAAAATGTCCAATATACTATAGTTTCAAATAAGGCTAGCGAGTAATTGGGACACCCAATCTATTAAAAATTGTTATTTTTGCAAAGTGTTTTATGTGTATTAAGCACTTTACGTACATTATCACATTTAACCTCTGAAACTCAATCTTCTGTTTGTAGAATTAAGCCACAACATGCTTATATAACGGGGTGAGTGTAACGAGCATGGGCTAGAGCTGGAAATTAAACCCAATGCTGTCTGTCTCTAAAACTCAGACTCAGAATCTATATTAGTATATTAGAGTCTATATTAGTATATTTTTTTTTATTCTCTCACTCCTCCACATTATCTTAGAAATGCTAAAGAAAGGTAAGTTTGAGTTTAATGTTCACTTAGTGATCATGTTTAGAAACTTCTTGGTTTTAAGATATGTGATCAAAACATACAATAGGGGGAAACAATATTATATGTATAAAACAATTGAATGTGTGTAAACTAAAAAGCAGTAATTGAAATAAATTGAAAATCTGCTGCCTTACAATTCTGGCAAGAGGAAAACATGGCATCCGAACTTGTTGGACTCTGGAGTTCTCTGCAGACTCAATCTTAGGTTTCTGTCCCACTTTACTGTCCCTCAAATGTGTCTTACACATCAGGCTTGATTGTCATGTGCAGACACATGACCTCAAGGTATTTTTAGCCCAGAATTCTCCATATATCTGATGCTTTTTATTTATGACTTCCTACTTGACATCTCCTCTCCTAATGTTGGAAGGATATTTCAAACTCAATGTTTCAAAAGTGAACGAGTAAGTTTCCCCTTCCCAATCTGTCCAACACACTGCCCTACTCCTCAACTGTACCTACAGTTAAGTGATTTTCAGCAATAGTATCCATCCAAGTATTCAAGCCAAAACCCTAACTTTCTCGCTTTCCCCATGCTCAGTCCATGACTAAATTCTGTTGATACTATTGCCTATGTATCTCCTGAACCTACCCACTGCTCTGTACTGTGATCATTTGGCTGGACCACTTTCCTGCTAACTGGGCTTTCTGTGTCCATTGGCTCCCTCTCCAAACTTTTGACCAGTATACAGGCAGGGTGATATTTGAAGTGCATATCTATTCATACTGTTTCCCTATGATGACCATCCTCCCCACCCCCCACCAATGACTTTCCTTTGCTTTTAAGATAATGACAAAAATCTTCAATTAGACTTCAATATTCTGCATGGTCAGACCCCTACTAAGCTCCCAATCCCATCATTCACCCTCCTCCCATTCCCCTCTCCAATCCTGTCATAAAGATTGTATCACATCCCTCAGATTCTCTAGGCCTAGTCCAACTGGTACCAGCCACTGGTGGCATGAGCAGCTCCACTCTATAGACTACAAGAGACTAACTGCAGATGGGAATTAACAGTAGTGCTCATGATGCACCTCTTGCTGAGGGGCTTTTCCCTGAACACTATGGCATGAGGTGCCGGGAGACCCTGCCTAGTGCCTATTCAGGTTCCATATGGAAACATGGAGAAATGAACACCATATGGAGCAAATGTTTATCCAATGGGAGAAGGGAACTGGTGGAT